TCCAGAGCCTTCGAGCAGCAGCATGGGTCGTGAGTCTTGTTGTGCTTTGCAGCGCCGGCCTCCTTCTGCGCCAGCAGCTGTGCCCTAGCTTCATCGTAGATGCTGGGCTCTGAGTCCTGAGCCAGACTTTTTGTCTTGACCCTCTTGCATCCAGGCGTATTGCAAATGCCGGGTACCCAAGCCCCTTTTGCAACCGGCTTGCAACGTCACGCCAGACAAACCCCTGAACCCTAAATCCAATAAAAACCTATGCACCCTAAACGTCTAATGTAGGGGTCTTAATAATTCGACTAGGGTTGTGAGTTATATTATATACTTTTTGTTATAACAAGAAACCCCCCAAAATAGCCGAGGTAATTATTAAGGCCCCTCTTGTTTTTTGGAAGACCGAGTCTCCTTGAGGGGTGACGGGGGCTCGTCGACCGGCTCCGGGCCTGCGCTCGACTGCGCCACTTGCGCCATGGCCCACTATATCTATCTAGGAAAGAACTGCACACTTCTTATGTGTAAATATGTACATGTCTGTATCTATAGAGAAAGTGTATGCCTATAAACATATACATATATCTATCTATGTATATCTATCTATCTATATCTATCTATATCTATCTATATCTATCTATATCTACCTATACCTATCTATATCTATCTACATCTATCTATATCTGTCTATATCTATCTATATCTATCTATCTCTCTCTCTCTCTCTTTCTTTCGCCAGGGCTAGGAGCAAGGGGATTGCTCCCCCTGCTCGCGCGCGTCAGCGCCCCCGACCGTTGTGGAGGGAGACTTGGAAAATGTGCAAACTCAACCAAGGCTACAGGGCTTCAGGGGTGGTGCATTCAACTATCTTGCTTGCTTGCTTGCGGGGCGTTTGGGGTTGGGGGTGAACCCCCTCCCCCTGCGCTCTCGCGCTGCGCCACTGTCCTGTGTCGTTTGTCGGTGTGAGACACCCTGAGGTTCGGCACCGACCTGTAATCAACACTCCTCTCTCACCTCTCCCCTCTGCAAAACCGCCAGCCTCGTCCCCTTCGTTCAACTATCTCTCTCTCTCTCTATCTCTCTCTCGCTCTCTTGCTCTCTTGCTCTCTTGCTCTGTTGCTGGCTTGCTGGCTTGCTTGCTTGCTAGGGGGTTGGGGACTTGGTCCCCTGGCCCGAAGGCCTACCCCCCAAAGTTCGCATCACCATGGAAAACTTTGCAGACCATACTCAGGTCATGCAGTGGTCTTCGAGATACTGCTACAGGAGAGTTGACAGGGAACGCATCAGAGTTATTAGGAGCGTTGGAATATGCACCGAGTTATGAAGGCAGCACCGTGGCATCCGCGGCATGGAACTCATGTCTGCGGTTGCGTTCTTCGGTTGAAACATTGAGCTATTCCGGTTCGATTCTATCAGTGTCGATGTATCAACGTAGCCACCCCCATCCCGCCGGTTGGTGTGGCTACACAGGCTTGAAACCATGCAATCGTCAGAGTCATGCAGTTAAGTGATGAATCGAGCCGCTCGTGGACCTTTACGTCATGTTTTTTTTCGAAAACGATGAAGTCTTGGCGGCCTGGGGGTGCGAGGACATCCGAGGAACCCAGGCTTCTTTCACATACATACATACATACATACATACATACATTTTTAGCACTCGCACTCGGCACTGCAGGCGAGGTACCAGAAGGACTAGACCTACGACAATGACTTAAGCAGAGATCGCACTGTCCACGATCCCTGAGGGATCCTCTTGATCACCACAAGAACAAGCCAGCGATGTTCGCCAGCTCAGCAGCACGTCATGAGCAAAGCAGACTTTGTACCACTACAGTACATACATACATACATACATACATACATACATACATTACATTACATTACGTTACGTTACGTTACGTTACGTTACATTCCATTCCATTCCATTCCATTCCATTACGTTACGTTACGTTACGTTACGTTACATTACATTACATTACATTACAATACAATACAATACAATACAATACAATACATACATACATACATACATACATACATACATACATACATACATACATACATACACACATATATATATATATATTAATATACTTCGTGCATTTTCGTCGCCTCGGGGTGGCTGCGGTGTCTCCGGCTGCGCCGCTCTTGTCAAGGACAAACACAGCCTGCTTCCGAGATGCAAGTTCTACAACGCACTGCAATGCACAGCGCCGCTCCACAGACGTGCCTTTGCAATGCCTCGAGCTCGGAGGCGAGGGATTGCGAAGCTACTGCCTCCTGCGCTTAGAATGCTAGAGTTGCTAGAATGCCACAAGCTGTCCACACGCGGCGAAAGCGGAGGCCTCCGAAGGATCAGCGCCTGGCGTCTGGCGCAGGCGCATGTCTCGCGCGGTCATGACGAGCGTTCTCGCATGCCCGCAAGCGCTCCATGCGCTGCTATCGCTGCCGGCCCCAAACCGTAACCCTCCCAGGCCCGCGCAGGGCACTTGCATGAAGGCTTCCCAAGCAGGAATCGGCTCTCAGACTTTCATGCACCGGCAGTGAACCACCGAGTTACGCGGAAGTTGGTTTCGATCCAAACCGAGCCCGAAACCCAGAAGTACTGTCCCTTCGTTTGTTGGGATATGTTGATGTATGTGGGTATGTCGGAGTGGTCGTTATCCGATCGGCCTGTGTCAGGTCACCACCGTGGCCCCTTTCTTTCCCGCTGTGTCTCTTCCCCGCTGCCGCTTCAGCGGCACCACGAGTGGTGGTGCCGCTGTCGGGACGCATCCTGCTTTGTCAACGGGGTGTGCGGTCATAGATGCAGTGCGCTGCTTGCACAGCTGTCGGGATGAATCCGGCGTCCCACATCGACCGTCTGTTTGTTGGCACAGCTTGTCCTGAGCGATCCCGAGTTCACGCCTGCAGCCTGAAGGGCCGGCTCTGATGGCACAGCTGTGTGAAGCATTCCGGTTTGTGGAATTGCTTCTTTCGCGTTGCTTCTTTGCTTCGTGTTCCTCTTCTCCCACGGCTTGATCCTTCGGCCGCTGGAAGGTGATGCCCTTGCTTGAACGCCCCAGACATCCGAGTGTTCGCCGCACTCCAATCGAACGCTTTTAATCTCAGGACATCAGTTACGCTGCTCTCTGGAAGGTGTGAAATCAACAATTCACCTTACAGCACAAGAGGATGGACCGCAAACCATTACATCAAATGCTTGATCTTCGTAATCACAAGCTGGACGATGGCATTGGCCTGCTGGACCCCCGGCGGGAAAGCCGTCCAGAGCAGGCCCATCCTGGGTTTCTGTGAAGGAACTTAAACCCTGTTGACTATATATCCCCATTAAGAAGTTCCTTAACAGCAACCCAGCATCGAGAGGCGTGGGAAGATGGTTCTTCCCGGATTGCAGGTCCTAGCCAGCAAGGCTTTGAGCTTCTGCGGTTTTGAATGAAGGCACCTACCTCAGAGAGTCCCGGGGCCCGGGTGGGTCCTCGGAGGGCTTTGGGAGCAGTTCTTGGCAAAGCTGTTGAAAGCATTGCGGGGGTATTGCCTTGTCTCCTTGCACCAAGCGAATCATCTTCAGCGATCTAGCAAACAGCACAAACATAATGGCAAGCTCACCGTCCTGCAGCATCGCGGCGCAAGTGCAACAAAAGTCGCAGCTGCGCATGGACATCAGGACCAGTGACTGGCTCCAATCGAAACCACCTCTGCAACGCCGCGATGCACCAGTCTTTGCAGGCCTGCGTTCTCTGCACGTGGCGTCTACAGTGGGGTCAGTAAGGATCTTGCTCGTCCAGCGTCGTGTTCTTCGACTGTCCTGGGCAGGCAGGGCAGCTCCTTCTTGGGCCGACTTGGGCAAGAAGAAGCCCCGACTCTGTTGGTGCTGCCAGGACTCCCAGCTGCATCATCGGTACTGACACATTGGCCACACTGTTCTCGCCGAAAAGCACGGTTATATTGCACACCTCGGTCATGCAGGTCTGATTTCACGGCAGCTCCAGTCTGAACGCACTCAGGAACTCAGGACCCAATCATCGATTCGTGTCGATTCAAAGCGCGTCATCCTGTTCTTACCGCTTTGCATGACTGTACCATGCTGTACCTGCCGCTACAGTTCAATTCTTCGGCATCCTCTCTTCTGCGAATGTGCTTGCATAGGGCCTACGGGCCTACGGCCTACGTCAAACCCATGGGTTATCTGATCGAACCACACTAGCCAACAAAGCAAGCGAGGACGCTCAGGTGGGGAAAAAACCTGCTTCTGAGCCGACAGGCTCGAATTTTCGAGACCGTTCCTGGCTGCATTGCAGCGTCCCGGGCCATTGAATGCACAGAAAAACATGCAAGCCGCAGCAAGCAGCAAAAACGTAATCATGAGATGAAGGTGTTAGCGAAAATCGTGGATCCACTGGTGCCGCGCAGACATTGAGGTAAACCCATGGCAGCCCATAGCTAGTCCTCGGAGCCTAGACTCAAGCGCTGCGTTGCTGCCATGGTGGCTGTGCTCTTCTGCCAAGTTTTCTCTCGTACCAATCCTTTCCTCTGGCTTCTCTCCTCTTCTTTCGTATCCAAACTCTTCCCAAAGCCAACACGCCTGCAAAAAGTAAGTGTGTAGAGGAGCAGGATGAGAAGGGACACTCCAGCGGTTAGCCAAAACGGCGCAAGCGGGTGGACGCGCTCATACAGAAGCAGAGACACCAAGGCAGCCAACGCACTGCCGAACGACTCAAAGTTCTGCCGCATCACTTGCAATGCCAAAAACACATCGCCGTCGCCCAGGGAATAAAACAAGTTCATTTTGGTAGCTGCTTGCATCGACAACACAAAGACCGTGCCCATGACGACTTGAGCCGCCACTGCTGCCGGAAGCGACGGAGCAGTCAGGGCCAGATTCAAGATCGCCCAAGCAAGCAAAATCCAGGATGCGGTGTACGGCTTGGCAGTTAGGGAATACCAAAGCCACCGGCACCTGCCACCATCAAACCCATCCTCCTCTGAGGCAACCGCACAGCGAGACTGGAAGTTCATAATTACCGTGCCAAGCACATCACCGGAGGTCTGAGCCAAACCGGCCCAAGTTGCGGATTGCCAGCCGTGCTGCTCCGCGAAGAAGACTGCATAAAGGGTCCACTCCGATTGGTAAGACAGATTGTGGTTCAACCCAATTAGGCATATCAAGAGAGCGGGAACCAGGATGTCTCTAGGAATGGTCTTCTTGACTGCTTTCCGCACATCTGATCCTTCCTCCTGCTCCTCCTCCTCCTCGGCAAAGAACATGAGCTGAGAGGCTTCGCGTGGCACGCTCATCGGTATCATGTTTCCGCAAGCCATTGAGCGTCTGGACATCTTCACTGCAACGGAACTTCTGGGCATTTCCGGGAATCGTGACATCAGCGAGCGGCGGGCACCACCGGCCCCGCTCACCCGTCCACTTTCTCGTCCCGCAAAACTTCCACGTGCAAACAGCATCGAACCTCTGGTGGCCGGGGCAGCGAAAGACACCCGTGAGATTGCCACCGATTTCTTGTTTTGTTCATGTCCCGAGTTGCGGGCCCCACGGTGTGCGCCGCCATTCCAGACTGGGTCTGGAGTACAATGACCCTCCACGTGAACCGTGGCCTTGGGTGGGCTCGGCAAGAGATCGTCACAAACCAGCGACGGGGGATTTCCACTAGGTCGTCCAGCTGCTGGAGGCTCCATGACTGGAACTATGCTGGCCGTCGAGCGTCTGTCGCTTGCTATGTCTGACACAGAGGCCCCATGACGCCACTCTGCCCATGATGCCCAAACGGCCGGCTCTGTGAAGATCAGGAATGCCTGGAGCATCTGCAAAGCCAAGTGGTACACGGCGCAGCCACGCCATCCTGCGAAGTCGTAGACCAGGCCCCCCAATGTCGAAGCCGTCGCATAACACGCCACCAGGCTCTGGAGCACCTGACAAATCAAAACAAAAAAAACACTAACAAGGACCCTTTAACAGTTATGGGGCAAGTGGATATGTCTGGCTTTACAACCTTCATCTGTGACGTGTATGCGACGCGCCTGTGATGCCGCTTTCTGCGCCTGGGTCTCCGAGTCACAGTAGTTGTAGAAAACTATTGCATCATTGGGAAGCATGCTGTCCAGGCCCAACAGCGCAACCATTTCCATGATTACAGCCCAGTCCGCAAAGGGGTTGATCAGCGCCGGCACGCAGCATGCAAGATGTATGGTGGTGGTAACAAGAGACACCCAGGTTCCCAATTTGAGGTAAAGAAGAGCCATGATGACTCGCAAGCCGAATCCAGCAAAGCTGCAAAGACCGAGCTTCCACAACGGCCAGCCGTTCAACTGAAAGAACAACGCCACACCCGACCATGGAAAGCCGTTCACACCACCGTTTGTCAGCGGAAGAAGAAAGCAGTTGGCAACATATCTCCATGTGCACGGGATGTGATCATCAAAATCAGCATCGAGGCACTCTTCAACTGAGTTCTTGTCCTCCTCCTCCTCCTCCTCCTCCTCGGCTTCTTGAGGAGGTTCTTCTTCCTCGATTGGCCTGGTGGGCATGGACACACGCACAAACACTGTCCCCCTCCTGGAATTCGAAGGGGGACGAATTATTTAAAGAATTGAGAGTGGGAGAGGTAGCTGTGCAAACGAATTGGGCCAAGTGCTGCAGCGGAAACACCATGCAACTTCTCACAGAGAAGCCAACAGGTCATTGTACGATGCATGGCCAGCTTTACGTGCTCAGCCGGCCACAGAGAAAGCATGTGGCACCTGCCAAGCCTCCGAGCTTTCCTTGAAGGCCCCAGAAGCTGTCCGAATCCCATGACAGACTCTGACTCTACCTGCTGTTGCCCAAGCGTCCTCCAAAGATGTCGGCACGTTGCTGCGGCGGTAGCCTCTGAGATAGCGGAATTCAGAGCTGTGGAATCCCTCGACGATCGACAACTGGAACAGCTAAGCGAAGCAACTGCTCCCCAGCGCCACCGCGCAGCTAAGCCTTGCGGGCCAGCACATGAGCTCTGGCTTGTTTTCTGGCACACCATACGGCGATGACTTCTGCATGCAGCTCGAGAAAACTGGTTCATGACACCCGTACCTTGTGATAACTGTCATGACATTCACCAGCTAGCTCAAGCTGAGCGCCGCCGCTGTTCACAATCTTCGTGCTCCGCCGTGCATGATACCACCGCGAGGAAAAGCTCCGCCATCGGGCCTCGCAACACCAGCATTTTGATTCGAAGCTCGACTATGTGCTCATCGCGTCTGCAAAGCAAGAAGTGGGTTCCCTCGAGGTTTGATTTAGCCTGATGGGAAACCACAATCTCATCAGAGAATGTAGGATGTCGGCAAACACTGCCGCCGCAAAGTAAAGGAATTTTGCAAACCAGCTGGTTGCATCCGATCCCCTAACCCCACTACCGGATCGAACTTTACAGCAACAAAGCCAGGTGGGAAGTCAAGCTCGCCAACTCTTGGGCCCAGGCATCTGCCGCAAAACTGCTAAGGCACGGTTCGCAAGGCATTGGTTGCAAGTGATGCGATCTCAGCTAGCAGGGTTAAGCTGTCCCTGTTGCAGTTTGCGGGCAGGAAGAGGGGGCGTCATGCCTCACCAGGATCACGCTGTCCGAGGGCCAGTTACCAGTGATAGTAATAAGATTACATAGAGACTTAAGAGGTCGTGTTCGCGTTTTCGCACCCGTGATTCTGCGAAGCAGCTCGGCTTGAAATTTTTTCTGCTGAGGCTTCGGCGACTGCAGGTCATCCAAGACCCAAGACGAACAAAAGGTTGTTGGAACAGAAGAACACATGCATGGCAAGAACGGCAGAAGTCTGGGAAAGGCGTGACACTTGTCACAGCACTGCGACCTTTCGTGAGCTGGCGCTGTCACGTCCACCCGATTCCACACAAGGGACATGCAGCTTACTCCGGGATTGAGAGAGGCTTCTCGGGATGAACAACCATTTACAAAACGGCAAGTCAAAAGTCTGTTGTGAACGCTCCGTGTACAATGCCCGATGACTGCACCATAACTTTTGCTGTGAAACTGCGCCCTGTACAAGGCTCACACTCTGAAAGCTTCTCTGAATTCCTCCACCGAAGAGCGCCTGCGATGAAAATCAGGGGCAAGGCTGGCCGGCCCCCCGGACGAGTTTCACTTGTAAGCTTGAAAGCACTGAGCTGCGAGCATCACTCCCTTTTACGCAGATGCGCTAGGTCCGCAACTATGATCGCCCTTGGTTGGCGACTTTTTTAACGACCTGCTCGGCGACTTTGGGTCCTCACCCAGAAGGATTCTGACCATTGCCTGTCAGGAGATAAGGCGAGCAGCATGAAATACTCCAACGCCTGGGATCGCCTCTAGGCTGTCGATCCGCCGCTCCATGCGCATGAGGGTGCGCTGGCTGACTTCCTGCAGCTCCGAGGGAGAGACAAGTGCCAGAGGGAGCAAGCCAGGCGAGGCATGCGCTCCGGAAGCACTCCATTCTGTCCGATCGGAAGAACATAACTCGAGCTCGAGATAAGAAAACCAGAAAGGTTTGGGGGCTTGCATGGCCGACAAAAAGTTGCCACAACACATGGCAGCAGTCCTTGCTTTGGAAGTGCAGAGCATCCAGGAAGTCCTCAGAATCTATGGCGAGTTCGGCTTGCCAGGAGTTGCATAGTCATCGCAACGATTCTTGAAACAAACATCGCACGACTACACAACAATTCCGTAGGGGTGGGGGCGTTTCTGTGACCAACAACTTCTAGAATCACAATGGCAAAATCAAGGCCAAAACTGGCTGCCCTCAGAACACAGACATATCGTTACATCAGTTGTCGTCGATGCATGGCATGCATGCCTGCGTGCTGGCCTGAGCAACACCTCTCGCCTCCTGCTATGCACACGTCGCAGAAAAGAGCTGACATCCTGGATCAATTCAGGTACAAGTAGAGTTCGGCATCGCCCAGTGCCACGAGTCTTGCATGTCTTACATTGCATGGCGAGCAAGGAAGGTCCATGGATGGTCAGGGGAATGTCGACAGGCGTCGCTGGAGCCCTTTGCACCTTCGCCTTCATCATCACCCTCACACCGAATTCATGCGCCCCAACTCCAGAAGATTGCGTATGCCGCAGTTTTCTCGCGCTGCATGTTCAAACATCTTCAAGGGACTTTAGCTAAGTCGTTTCACCACCCGACTTATCTGTGTCTTCAGCTCACAAGATCGGGCGAGTCTCGTCAAGATCAATTTGCGGCTCCTTGGGCTGGCAACATGGCAACACGAACAACAACCGCTAAAACATCAGCAACGGTTCTCTGAAATCAAGATGGGCTTCGCTCCCCTTGGTGGGATGTTTACACAGCAGCTCGAAAAGGTTCGGCAAATCATTGATTGGTATGTTCCTCAGTGTAATGTGCCGAGCGCTCTGTGCTGGAGTTCCTTTCCAATCAGCCGCGAAGCACGGCTTCCAGGGCGGCCTCCAAAGATTCCTTGACCTCCCCGTCGTTCAGCCTTCTGTTGAACTCCGTCTCGCTGACTTTTCCTGCACGATTGAACCGGCACATCCACAAGCCACTGCGATGGAACAAGGATTTGGACAAGTCTCGGTTCGAATCACCCTGCTGATCCATCTTGTAGAAAATCCTCGGGTGATGCGCTCCAAACTGGCTCGCAGCTGGAACTGCTCGAACGGTGCCACCCTGCCCTGCCCCTCAAAGCGAATTCATCCAAGAAGCTCTTTGAGCTTCTGGCGCTGTTTCAGCTGCTTTGCATCCTCTTGTTGTTTGCGGTGGTCCCTCGGTGCCCACATTCAACTTCATGCTGCACATGGCGGCTGTCTCAACGTGATGATGAAGGTGACAAGCAGCCACAAAAGACTCTGTACATTGGTGGCCGTCGCGTATGGTGTTGCAATGCTGGCTCCATTCGGAAAGGATGAAAAGAAGCTTGTTCGAAGTGAGGAAGTGGTCAACAGCATCCGGAGCAAATGCACTTCGTGAACTGCTGCCTCTCCAACTAAGCACGGCCACGCACCGTGGAGGACACCTATACCTAGGTTCCTCTACCACTCCTTTCCTGAAGCTACCAAGCGGAGCGCAAATGGCTTCAGCTGGCTGTTGCAACTGCAATCCATGCTGAAGTCAGATGGCCACATTATGGCCACATTGCACTATTCGGCCCAGGATCGTGCACGCGCTTATCAAGTTCTCGCTCACCACGGCTGTAAGGATGGCCAGGATCGCCCAGTTGGACAGAATCATGAACCCTGCATCTGCACATCTACTCACAAAATCACAGGAAGCGTTTCTCCACTCACTAGGGCTGGCCAGGATCCGCTGCAGAAGCGTTTTGAACATGCTTGGCTGAGGTTCGCACATGCTGTGAACAGCTTGGAGATGGGCATTGCATTGAGCAACGGGTCCAACGGCTGCGTATCCGCATTCATGACTTTGAACCTTACGATCTCAAGCGTATCAAGAGCGAATCTGCGTGTGAAGACCTACGAGAACTTTGCCTTGCAATGTGCAGCGCCCTGCGGCAAAATGAATGGGGCCGTTGTGTGGCGAGATTTTGTGGCAAGCTACTTTGTTGGTGAAGTCCAATTTGCTGGATTCAGGTTTGTGGCAAGCTGTCGGGAACTCCCACCTCGAAGGATGCAAATTTCGCGACAAGCTGTAGGCAGTCCTGACGGCATACATGGTCGTGTCATCGCCGTGTGTGTGCGGTGGCGCCTTTGTGCGCGTGTGCGCGAGTGCCTGTGTGTTACGTGCATGTGTGTGCGTGTGTGTACTGGCCACTGCATTTCCGTTGAGTACAATTTATGCAAGGGACCATCCGTTTGCGTGTGCGATGGTCCAACGAAACGGCCACAGAAGACGCGGATATCAGGGCTGATCACCCTGATGTACCTGCCGAGACGATTTCAGCGCAACCAGATCTAGAGTCCTCACTGCACATTGATTCTCATCTCGGTTAGTGCATCAAACATCTGTTTCAGCAGCCTTCAGTCAGTGCTTGCATATGTCAAGACATCCAGCTTGCCGAGGGTTTGCACATGTTTTGATGTACGGCGGCAGCAATCTGAGCCGCCTTGAAATGCGGCCAGGTACTCTGCAAAGCAAACCAGCAGCCTGTGAGTAACTAAATCCAACCATGAGTGCGAGCATCCTTTGAGAAAGTGTGGTTGTGTGTGTGTGTGGCATATTGTGTTTTATGTTGTGTTGTATTGTGTTGTGTTGTATTGTGTTGTGCTGTGTCGTGTCGTGTCGTGTCGTGTGCGTGTGCGCGGGCGCGTGCACGTGGGCGCATGCGTGTGCGTGTTGGTGTTCGCGTTGGTGCTGGTGTTGGTGTTGGTGTTGGTGTTGGTTGTGTTGTGTTGTGTGTCTGTCTCTCTCTGTCTGTCTGTCTGTCTGGCTGTCTGGCTGTCTGGCTGTCTGGCCGTTTGCCTGTCTGCCTGTCTGCCTGTCTGCCTGTCTGCCTGTCTGCCTGTCTGCCTGCCTGCCNNCTGGCTGGCTGTCTGTCTGTCTGTGTGTCTGTGTGTCTCTCTCTGTGTGTGTGTGTGTCTTTGTTTCTGTGTGTCTGTGTCTGCGTCGGTGTCTGTGTGTGTGAAGCCAGCCGGGAAGCACAGGGCCGCGGAAGTCAAGAAGCCAACAAAAGCTGATAAGCCGGCAAGCCATCAGGCCAAGAAGCCGTGAAGCCATCAGGTAAGGAAGTAAGGAGCTGCGCAAGCCAAAAGCAGAAAACCAATAGGAACGCTGAAACATTCCATGTTAGTTACCCCCAAGACTGGTATCGAAAACAATGCCCGGTGTAGACTTTCACAGTTCAGTAGGCGCCCGAAGCCAGGACAACCCCACACCAGCAAAGGGCCATCAAAAAAGAATCGCCAAGGAATAGGCCCTCCGGTTTCAGCACATGCGGACAAGCGACAAGACGAACATCGAGGTGCCCACAGTCGGAAAGACTTGAGACGCACTCCTGATTTGAACAAGAGCTTGCTCTGCTGATCTCTGGTATGGAGGGTAAGCCACTTTTGGATCACTGCAGCCAAGAATCTCCGGGAAATCCACAGGGACGACCAATCTGTGACCAATGAGCTGCGTGCAGAGGATGGCACACGTGTAGAGCACGACCAGCGCAAGAAGAAAAACCCAGGTCATGCCCTAGCAAAATGAGCAGTATCTACAGAGATGTATACAGATAGATGTAGATATAGATATAGAAAAAGATATAGAGAGAGAGACCCACAAGATGCTGTTCATCCTACGTCTTCCTTCTTCGTCCAAGGTGCTTGGAAAGACTCCAAGATGCCCATCGCCAGCGTGTACAACGGCGGTATGTTTCGGATCAGTCCTCAGCGCTTCTTTCCAAGCCCCTGTGGCCGTCAGTTCAGCAAAGTCTGGGTGCAGGTTTCCCAAGCAAATGCAACTGCACTTGATACCAACAGTTGGGATATCGCATATACAACCAACTAGCAACTGCGTCTGAAGCGCGTAGCAAGCGCATCAGCCGTAGCAGCCTTCAAGACGTACGCGACTGAACACTCTGGGACATGGGTGGGCTCTCTCCACACACCGAACATATACCACTGGCACAGCTCTGTTTTGAATACATGTGCCTGGAATGTTAGCCAGCCGTGCAGAGCTGTGAATGGCGGTAAGACTTACAGAAGGATGTGGGCTTGAGGACGTGAAATGAAAGCTTGGTTGGGTCTGACTTTGGCATTTGGCACTTGTCTGATAGCCGCGTATCTAATTCAAGGGTAAGTTCAGTCACATTGCACAATATGGCCATCGTTCATTCCAAAAAGGCACACCACTTGGGCTGCTCTCAGTTATTGAAGGGTTGTTTCGGCGCTCACTCCCAGACATGCCAGGTGAGGTTCTTGGTGCGTAGTCGGTTGGAGGTGAGAGTGGAGTTTGGGCGACAGCACCTGACACAGATCCTGATCTAGCCGTCAGAATGCCATTGCGCTGTTCCAGGTTTAGGTTGACACTTTCGAAGGTGTGCTTGTGCCTGGGTCAGCAAAGAAATGAGGATGACAGAACGCAAAGGGAGAGAACTGGCAAAGCCTGCTTTGCTGAAGACTGAACAAGTCCGCACATCCCGATACTTCCTTTTAATGCATAGAAGCATTAGGTCTGTTTAATGCTATCAGAAGTCCGGCCCTAGGCTAGAATGCTGAATCACGGCAAATCGTTCAAACGCAATCATGCCAAACCGTTTGAGCTGATAGCTTCGATAATCGCAAGTGCAGAGCTATGAAAGTTGGTTGCAGTGCGGAACAGAAGAAAGACAGGCACCTGGGAAGTCTGTGTATATCAAGACTTTGCTTAAGGCATTAGGCTTCGCAGCTGGAGCAAAGTAGACTGGGCCAGCTGCAATTGCGCTCTGGCATACTGGACTTCTTCGTGTGGGCATATGGATCTTGTCACTATGACGTAGGCAGTTTGTTCATCGCATTCTCTGGCAGCATGTTCGTTTGTCATGGATGGTTCAAAGATGTTTCGCGTCCTTCTCACACACAGTTCCGAGTGAGATGTTCTGAGATTCTGGGACAAGCCTTTGAGTAGCACATGGGAGGGCTGGGAAACACGCACGTACTGTCGGAGAAGCCAGGAACTGTTGTACAAAGACATTTGCACCGATTTTGCACATCTTCCGGACGGATCAGGCCTTGCCAGCCGAAGCAAGCGCATGGCCTGCGTCTGTGGCTTGTCCGTTGCGAAGGGGGCCTCCTCAGCTGCGGCTACTCGCGAAAAAATGCCCAGGACGCATCGAAGGGTCCTCCACAGCTCCGCTCATGTAGAGAGAGAAGCCAACCACGGGCAGCACCCACTGTTCGACAACTCCCAGAAGCACGATGAGCAAATCCTGCCATAACCATTAGAGCAAAGAACGTCGTCTGACACCCTCTCAGAATCCATGTCGGAGCGCAGCCCGAGGTGCAACCCAAGATGCTTTCGAAAGCTCTTTATGAGCCTGTGTGGGAAACCTCCCCTAGCGTGCGCTGCAGCCTTTGCTGCCGTTGGCAAGCTTTCAAGCCGATCGCATCCCCGAGAACATGCCCACGGTCCAGCCAGTTGTAGAAGAACTCATTCTGGTCATGAAAGAACCTCAGGAGATGCCATCAGAACCATGCCACTCAAAATGGCCACAGTCGTCAGCGGAACTCCGCATTGCGGCCAGGAAGCCGACAGCCCGAATTGCGGATGCGCACAATGAGCTCAAAGGTAAAAACCGAAAGTAACAAGTTGTCAAGAAGCCTGGGACAGGAGAGCTTAAGGGTTGGAATTCAGATTCCGATGAACCGCGCCCACCTCCAACCGCCCAAGTTCGGGAAGCTCAATTCCAAACCAATCATCGCCGCATTCAAAAGTATTACCTTTCAGCAGCAGGGAGAGCAGGGATGCTTCCGATCCCACCGAAGTTGCCACAAGAAAATGCCGCTAGAAGGCTGCAAGGATGAAGAGCTGAAAACCACGCTCTTCTGCCCAAGAAGTGTCGTTGAGAAGTCGAAACAGCTTGACGACCTGAGGCCGACTGCGGGTGACTCAGCTATGGGTACAGGCCGGGTCTAGCCGAGCGGCACGAACCACCCGTAGGCCTTGCAACCAGGAGGTCCATTCCGGCGTCGCAGCGCCAAAGATTAGTGGGCCTCTCGACCAGCGCTGAGCCCAGGAACTACGAAGCCGCTCCCTCCGAGCCCCGGGCCAAGCCAAAGATCAAGCACCCCCACACAGATGATCAGCATGTCAACCCAGAATGTCCAAACCTGCTTGCATGGTCCAATCAATAGATCCTGCGCAAGGTTGGGCACTTGCTTTCGGTCCATGCATACGGATGCTGAGCTGTGAAGACCCACGCCGTCCTCATGGTGAAGGGCTAGACGAGCCCCGAACTCCACGATATAGAAGACAAGAATTGCAGTGTCGCACCAAAAGAACTCCCTCGCCTTGGTATTGTCTGCCAACCTCAGCTGCAGCCAATGGATGGTCACCAGATTGCACCACCAAGAACTGTGCCTAACTTCGACCACCAAGTGGCTCCATGACGATCAGAAGAAGGTTCGACACAATCACCAAGGCAACCACTCCATCAAACCAAGCCTCATCCACAAACTGAAGCCAGCGACAACCTGCCACGAGGGTCAACAAAACAAAACATGAAGCGAGACTGCAAAGCATGGGGCCTGGCGGCCCATCACTCATCCTGAACAGGTGGCGCGATCTCTGCGAGCTGCAACTGACAGACTATGCCGAGGTCTCCTGAACTTTGGGGACGAGCGATACATCAAGGACTTCCGTCGACACAGGTCGACCTCGTGCTCCAAAGCTTTGAGACACAGCAGCTACTGCATACTGAAGTACAGTTACGGTATTCGTAGTATGGTAGTAGCAGCAAGGCAAACAGAATCGTAGCAGTATAGCGGTGCTTTAGTAAATTACAGCTTGACCCTCAGGGCCTGGTCCTGCTTGTCCAGCACTCTTCTTTGTATCTGCTGCCTTCTTGCTTCATAGAACCTCTGTGCAATTCAAGTCATTCAAGTCCTACACGAATTGAAGGCTCACCAAAACCAAGCAAGGGTCTCATCCAACTCTTGCAGCCGCCTCCTCTTTTCCTAAGCGCCAATCGGCATGCTCTGTGTCTGACTGAAGTGGCAGACTGCGGGTGTGCTCGAAATCAGGTCGCCTCCAGTTGCCGGTTGATGTCCTCTATGCAGCCGAGCTCGTCAGCCACTTGGGCATTTTGCACATCTGTGTCGACCGAGCCTAGGTCAACAAGTCAGGGCACCCACGCATCAGACTTCCAATCCGGGCTCCAAGCCTATGGAAGTCTGGCCCGGGCTCTGATCTGCGAGGCTGTAGTCGTAGTCGCCGGCTGGCTCCACAAGCTTGGCACCCAAGACCTCAACGAACAGGATCACCGAATGCCGCCCAGCATGAACCGTCGTCGTTCCGCAAGAACGTTCGAGCATACATGTTTCAAAAGTCTCCAGCAGCATTGTCGAAAAAGAAACCGGCAAGACACACAGGGATTTGCTGCCTCTGTCACCCCTTCGCCCAGTGGCCCCTACATGCCAGCACGGTCAATGGCATAGGAGCTCGAAGCAAATTGCCCAAGTCTGCCGTACACCGTCGTGATGCGTACTTGTACCGAAGATGCTGAGAAGCAGGCTCGGCTCATTCCATAGCTAGCAGCGGCTCCCAGTTCATTTGTAGCAACCGCATCTGAAGCTTTGGGCAAACGGTCCGGGCTCAACTGTCAATACTTCGCCTTGGTCCTAGCTGGATGATGCCTCCTCTCAAAAGGTGCCGCTGCGATGACTAATCTGATAACCTGACCTTCTGTGATGCGAAATTGTACGTTCATGCTTCTGAATGAGCCAAGCCTGAGCAAGAAAGCCGGACACATCACTTCCGTAAGCACTATCCCGAAGTTTGACAGAGTATGCTGCAGCCCCTGCCTGTGCTGTGAAGCTATGCAGCAACACTGAGCACCGAGACCTGCTACCGGTTTTGCAAGACTGGGGCCACATTCGGCTGAGTGCGTCCGTTAGCCTTGTTGCCCTCGATGCCCTCGGACGCCAAGCGCTGATTACGCTCGACCTGGCGTGCTTCGCATTGGAAGCAGCGTAGACAGCTTACGCCACTCGGATGTATCCAAATCAGATCCACCTACAAGGCAGCAGGTGATGTGCCAATGCACGGATCCTAGTGCTAGTTCATCTGCCCGCACCCGACATGTCCATTCAATACACCACCCGCTTACCCACAGCCCCAGCGCCCCGTGACCAGTGAGAGAGAGCGAGAGAGATGCCCACGCACACCTTTGAGTGTGAGGTCGGTCCACGCCAACGGCAACCCTCTTTGGGAAAAACGGGTAAACGACACCTGAAAAGCGTTTGAGCCGGTGAATGCCAGTCCTCTGTGGTGGTCTTGGGGTCTGGGGGTGTGACACATCACAGGAACCCGAACAAGGCGTCTGCAGTTCATGTCGTAAGCGCCAGTCGGCCGTCTTCGTCCAGCTCAAACGCAGGCAGGCAAGAAAACAGCCATAAGAGAGACAAACAGACATACTTCAGAACAGGCCAAGCGACAGCAGATCCAACAGCAACTGACTAAGCGCCACTAAGCTGACTGTGCACTAATCACTAACACTTGCCCCCACTTTTTCCGCCGCACACACCTACGATGCCTCGCCCCACACCTGCCTCACGTTGATTTAGACCCTGCGAGCTGCCTGCCGCCGGTACTGCTGAAGCTCCTCCACCCTGGCACGGGTAAGTTCTCAACTTTGACGCAGTTCGTGAGTGTGCTGGGAGTCTCGCCTTTGCTCCACCATGCCATCAATGCTGCTCTCTGGGTACTTGTAAAGTTCCTCGGCCACCTCGCCCCATGGCATCCGAAAGAGTCATGCCGCATGCATCCGAAACAGGCATATCCGATGCACATCCAGCAGGGTGCTGTTGCATTTGTTTTCCTTGCAGACCTTTTTGCATCTGGGCTTGTCGAAAGGCCTGCAACCACAAGGGGGGTCTGCTAAAGTGCCTCCTCGCTCTGCGAAGAACAGAATACCTAGCTGCAAGCTGCCGGATATGCTTCATCCAGGCTGGTGCAGATGATGCCGCTGCGAGGAATCGAGCATGGCGGGATATCCCGCCCCTCCTTGCGGGCCTCTTCGGCGCATCTCGTGTTGGACCAGTGTTGGAGAACCATAGCACCGGCGGCACCATCGGCTCAGATCAGGCAATGTCGAAGCAGATCACGCTCGAGCCAGGAGCCAAGCAATCCTGGCGAGAGGCCATCGTCGGCCTTTTGGAATTTCTCCTCATCTCCATTGGCTCCTTCTCGTCCTTCAGCCAGAGCCTGCTGAGGCGCTCTGAAGCAGCCTGCCGAGGCTCCGTGAACGTGAGCGCGATCGCTCGAGTTGAGCACAGCGCCGTGCGGTTCGGCGCACGAACTTGTCAGCGCGCAGCTCCTGTCACAGGTTGCTGCAGCCGAGATCGGATCTCTTTTCTCCGACGAGTACTTTGCAAGGAGATTCGCAGGCTATCTGGACATCTGCTATCCAGATTCTTGCTCCTCTGAGGCCCAAGTCAGGGCTGTTTCATCCGAGTGAACGGCTGCCAAGACAACCTGAAACAGAGAGCGCACGGGCCATGGCCACAGCTCCCAAGGCTCAAAAGAAGCCCCTTGCAGCTCTCAAGTTCGGCCTGGCGGCCTCGCGGGTGCCTCGAAGCCGCTCCGAAGCAAAGCGCAGCGCCGCACCGTGCTTTCGCACCGCTGCAACGACGATAGCTTCATCGTCACCTCAAACCCCAAAGCCCCGAAAACCGATCCTCTGCAGCTCATGTCCTCAAGCTTGTGCTTCTCAACTTGAGCTCGGTGGCGCAAGGGCACAGCAGCGTGTTCCAATGCCATCCCCGACTCGAGCACAGCTGCCAGCACCACCTGCCAGAGCATGTCGATTTGATTTGCTGCGGCAATAATTGTCGTGCGACCTCTGGAAACCGTTTATGTATAGTAAGTATAGTATACAGCATGTATAGAGCGGCAAGGAGCAGGCGAACAAGGTGTGCGAATGTGGACCAAGATGGTTTGCAAGGGAAACGGGCGTCTTGCGTAAGCTTACCCGGCGGGCAGCTGCTGCAGGCACTCAGGCATTTCTTTTACAATTCTTGCAAAAGGGGTGTTTACAGTCTGCAGTCCGCCTCGTCATCGTGTTGGAGATCCGGGCTGGCAAAGGCCAACGCTGCGCCGTCCCGGCGGACTGCCGAAAGGACCAGAGCACGGTCGGCCTGTGAGCTCGGCACACCCGGAGCTCAGACAAGTCAAAGTCGGAGCACTGCGCACAAGCAAAGAAGCTCCTGCAACTTCCGGTCTGCACATTGCAAGGCCCAGCCGCCAAACTGGGCCAACTGCTTCCCGCATTCGCAGATCCTCCCCGACAAGCCACAAGCTCAAGAATGAAGCCAGCCGCTGAAGACTCCGGACAATGAAGCTTAAAGGGCCTAGGGCCTAGAAGAGAGTCGGCCGGGGCCGCAGGGCATGGCGTTGTGTAGCTGGACCGCTCTCAGAACACACCGCTTGCATCCGTTCCAAGGCGGCGGTCTGGCCGTCTGGGCATGTTCCGGCTTTGCGTCGCTTGTGGCTTCCTAGGGTCCTAGAGATGCGATCGGTTTGCTGTCCTTTTCTGTGGTCGGCTGGTGCTTTCGGCTCTCCACGCTCCTGACGCTTCTTGAAGGCTTCCCATACAACGACTTCCGCACCTAAATTGACTCAAGAGTTGTCCACTGTATCGAGCAATAACAAAACAGACCCAATAACCACTACAACATTCCACCTGTCGATACATGCCTCCGAAACCCCGAGTTATAGCTTCTGGAGACGATGTAGAATCAAGAGATGTCCCTTCAAAAGTGCAACAGTGTCCAGCCCATTGTCTCAATGGCTGCGCGAACAACCTCACTGTCTCCACGCAGCTCCGGGCTGGCGTACGTCAGCGCATATCCATTCCGGCGCACTGACTTCCTAGGCGAAAACCACAAGAATCTTGAACACCAAGCTCTCCGGGAGGTGACCCTGTCTTGCGTAAGTTCTGACGAGACATCGCTACTACCTTGACTTTGGCTCCGCACCTTCGAATGTCACCCATGCAAAATCAAGAAAGCCACTTCACGGAGAGCAATGAGAACAACAGCACATCATCATATCGCAGCCAGCTTGACTTGCCTGGATTCCCGCAGCCAAGGTGCAGCACAAAGTCCCGGTTGCAGCGCAGGTCCATACTGGCGAATTGAAACGCATTGCCATCCTGTCCAATAGCCGTCAAGACCACCTAGCGCAGTGAGCACGCACAAAAACAACAACACTACAGGGACAAGCGCCACGCAAAAAGACAAAAAGGAGCGCCTCCGCGTCGCCACGAAGTTCTGGCACCGCAAATTCCAAGGATAGGCCATGTCGAGCCACGGCAGCGAGCACCACCTCACGATCTGCCTCAACAGCGAGGCAGCGGGTCCAGGCCAGCAGAAGCATCTCGGGGCCCACCGCTGCCTGCAAGGGTCGATCCGCGCACGCCAGCGCGAAACCGCACCTGCAACGGCTGGGCCCACGACGAGTTCCCCCCTGAGTTCTCTCAACACCGCTGCCTCTGCACGGCCTCCAGCACCAGGCCCCGATCGCCAAGCAGATCTGGTGAAGCCTCCGTTTGTGGTTTCAGGCCGCACTCGCATAGGACTCAATGTACTCTCCAACAGCACGCTGAGCTTGGCACCCATTGCAGCGCGTCATCATCCAAACGAACGGCAGTCATCAGGACTTCTCGGTCGTCCCTAGCACAAGTACAGTACCCGCGGTACCCCCTCAGACAATAATAAAGCTGCTCCAAATGTGCAAAGCATTGCAAAGCTGTCCTGATCAGGTCCGGCGCTTTCGACAGATCCGCCTACGAGGGCCCGGCTGCCACTCTGCCACGCTCGCGGTTAAGCCGTTAAGCTCGTTGAGCCTTCTGGGCAATCTTCTCCAGCCACTCCACCTGCGCAGCCGGACGGCGCAGAAGAGTAATGTCCAGCTCTATGTCGGGCGACAAATCCTCCAAATTCATTGCAGACATTCGCTGGTGCTTCTGCACGGCTGAATGCCTGACATCCTGTCCTTCAACGACTGGAGCTCCCGCCCGTCGACTACGAGTCGCTGCTCGAAGACCGAGATGCCGCATTTTGCCGCCACCAAGGCTTTCAGCGCCTCGTGCCAGGGCTGCCTTCTTCGACGTCATGTCTCATGTCTCGCGGAGGCATTGCAGGGTTCGTCACAGAGGGCCTCAATCGGTTCCTGCCGATTCGCAGCAAGGCAGCAGAGCATGTCCCCAGCCAGGCTGCGCACAGAAATGCGGAGATCGCCATGATCTGGCAAACCACCCATTGCAAATGGTTGCAAGTTGCTTTCTGTGCTCCGACATTCATGTTCTCTAGGCTCGGATGCTCAGACTGCCGTGGTGCTCGTGCCAGCATCGGCAGATTGCTTTTTGTCTGTTGCTTCTAGGACTACAGTACAGATGCTGTACTGTGAAGCGGCCGCAGATGTGATGGGCTGAGTCGACCGGAGAAGGTGTGGAAAACACCATCCCCCGAGCAATGGCGTGCCTGCTCTGTGTCGTTCTTCTTGCCTTTGGAAGAAGGCCTAAGGGCTCAGACTGGGCACAGAAGACTCGGCACTTCTGTCATACTGCATTCCCAATCTTTTTGGGCCTCTCGTGTCACTTCTATTCTAGTGCTTTTGCCTCCCGCCTTGTTAGGACGAACCTAAACCCTGGCTAGGGTTGGCACGAAGGGTCCGGGAAGAGATGCTGCATAAACTCGCGCCAGGCTCTCTCACTTGCCTGGCAGAGGATGCGACATGCGCCCTTGGAAATCCGGACCGCTTGGACTGCCTGGCCACCGGATGGAAGACCAATACTTTGAACGGAGTCCTGCATGCCATATCACTACACTTTGGCACGTGTCACCTCCCAGCTGCTTTTTGCTGCGATGTGCTGCTCTCCTTCCCAGCAGCCACGCAAACCGGCTTTGAGTGGTCCAGCTGCTCGGGCAGGCCACCTGCAACAGCAAAAGCGCGGACATCTCTCGCTTCGTCCGTGGCGTTGCGAGCAAAACCGGCATGTGGCTGAGTGTCGAGGGCCGCACCTTTGGGGGCCACGCCGAAGAGCAGTTGCCGGAGGACGCTTCGCATGGCGTTCAGAGAGGCCTTCTCCTCTTTTCTGCATTCTACGAACAAACCACGAGGCCACAGGGAGGAGGAGGAGGGTGCTCTTAGGCTCCTTGAGAGAGCACAGGACCAAGTGTGCGCCATGAACCAGGGCATAGTGCCGAAGCCTTGCAGCTCTTCACTCGAGACAATATCTCAGCGAGTCAGAAGAGGCGACGGCGCTCTGCTCAGGTTCTTCCGCTTCTCGGGATCAACTTCGGAGGCCAGCACATCCCATTTCGTGCCTGAGCCAAGCAGGTTATCTGTAGTGGAAGCCATCTTCAGCCACATGCTTTGGCCCTGCATCAGGAATCTTCGAAGCACGCCAGCGAGATCTTGCTTTCACTTGCATCTGATGCACACGCAAGTTTGTACGTGAGACGCCTATCCACTTCAGTGAAGAATTGGCCAGCACGGCCCTGTGACGCTGCAGCGGTTGGTGCTCTCAACAGGCCACAAAGCTCTGTGATGACGTCTTGTTTCAGTGGATCGCAGCACCACCACAAAGAACCGAGCATTCACAGGCCTTGAAAGGGACACTCGCGCTGTGCTATTTCAAGCACAAGCTGGAACTACTTCTAAGGCGATAATTGGCGATGCGCATTTCATACAAGCCGATTCGCATTGCAGAGATGCAACGAAGGCCCGGCTGCGGCAGTGCCAACTGCCCACTACGGCGGCCTAGGGCCTATGGGATCATTTCAGAAGATGCGGAGGCGTCGGCATAGTCCAGAACGGCGAGTTGCTGTCATGCCCCACCTCAAATACACTCGTAAGCTTCGTAGATGCTTGCTAGCCTGCTGCGCGAATGCTGCAGAGAGCTTCACTGCTGCTGCGCCACCGTGTTGAAGAAGCCGTTGAAAATGAAATCGGTGAGCCCGTAAGAGGCTCTCTGCGGCGTGTACATGTCTTTGGAGACCCACATGCCCAATTCGTCCTCCGAGCACAACTGAATCTTTCACGCGGAAAGGCTGCCCGGTGCCTCCGAAGTCGCAACAACATGGATCGCGTTTGCACTTGCATGCTTCACGAGGGCGGCCTTGTAGACGCACTTGAACCTCAGAGCTGGAGCTCCGGATCTGTCGTATGAAGCACTGAGCCCTGGACGCACAGACACAGCCAGACCTGGAGAGGTCTGTTCACACCTGGTGTTTTCAAGCTTTCTGGCCCCCCATCAACCGTGATCTTACCCCACATCACGGCCAGTTCCCACCTTGCCTTGACTGGCCAACTCCCGGCTACAGCCTGCAATGGCCTACAACGTTTGACAAAGGTTCTGCCCCAACCACAGAAGTTTCAAGACTTGCACCAGCCCAGCCGAGTTTGATGTGACCTTAACTGATACTGGTAACTTAGTAGGGCATTGCGGGAGGCACCGTTTCAAGCTCGCAAGCAACTCTCCTTGTGGGGTACGCTTGGGCACGGGCACATGAGAGCACGAGACGACCTTCTGCAAAACATGCTGAGCTACGGCACAGATGTGTCGTGCACAGCAGAGCATCGCCGGAACGCGCATTGTAATTAAACAGCCGGGAGGAACCCTGCCATGCCGGGATGCCCGGGGGAGCAGGGGCAATGCGGGCAATGCGCTTGATGCGCTGAGCCGCTAAGCTGCTGAACCTATCCATGCTGCTGCAGCATCGAATAACGCAGCCAGCCAAGGCACCGATAGTAACGCTCGGTGAAGATTGCCATAACCACCTCGGACTTGGGACAATTTTCGGCTCAAAGCTCTGCCACTTGCTGCTTTCTGAAGCAGGGCTCTACAGCTATGCCTTCATGCTTCTGTTTAAAACACCCGCCCGTCTGCGAGGTGTTGGGCATAGGCATGTGATCGGCTGTCCTCCTGCAGCTCATGTTACGCTTTTTCGGTCGTTGGGGCTTTGGCTTGCTGCAGCTGGTATAGGGCGTGCTCAGACACTTCGCTGCATTGCTCGTTGAGCCTCTGATCATGCCACAGCCGTTCTCAATCTGGTCTTCACGACATGCCCTCTATGCCGCTTCGCGCGTGATTTCACCAGGAACTCTTCCGGGTCAACGCGCGGCCGAGAGTGGGACACCGATTCCGCACTGCTGTTTTAACTTGTCCGGTTCGGGCTGGCGTTCAAACGACCTTCAACCCAACAACACCCAAGCACAGGAGCCAAGCTGGCTCATAGTCAAAAGTCACTCATTCAAGTTTGGCACTACAACTGTAAAATGCTGCAGCGGAACAAAAAGGGAATGCTCCGCTCCCAGGGTCCCACGCTCCGGATGGATTTGAGTCGAGGTGCAAGCGTCATGATGAGGCGTAGTGGCACCACCTGCCTGATCATGGAAGCTCGACCGAGCACTGTGCACAGCACCTGCCTCTCTCCGCACATTTAGCCCCTGCCACATGCCCATGATATTGGATTCCGCTTTTGTCGCGGTGCCTCAAGAGATCACCGTACGACGCACCATTGTGCTTCCGTTCCTGAACTGGCTCCTCGGCTATGCTCTGGTCGCTGCAGAAGGCATGCCTTGCGGGTCGGTGGCAGATGCAGCCCAGCAGCTTCTCTCAGAGGTGCGGAAACACCTCCGGGACTCCAGTTGAAGGCTGAACTCTGAACGGAACATGACTGAACCATGTGACAAGGAACTGCTTCGTCGCAGAGCACACGCAGAGCGTGTTGGGGGGCGTAATCAAGCGTAGTACCCGCTGATGCTGCCGTCTGCAGCTTTGGGTGTTAGTTCACCCCCCCCCCCCGGCCCTCCACCTCCCTTTCACGCCCAGGATCCAGCATCTGAAATACTTCTTCCTGCGTAGTTTGAATTTTGGCCCAAGAGGTCGCTGTGCTGACGTGTAATCCCGTGGCGGCCACACAATTCTGCCAGGAAAAAGCGGTGAAAAAATCTCTGCCAAAGGTGTCATTACTCCCTGTACAGTTGACGACAACTGCAACACGCCCCGACCTCAGGACTGGCAGTAGCGAGAACACGTCTTAGCTTAATCAAATTCAAGACGTCCGAAGCCGCAGGGCCTCAAGAAGAATCAGGCTGGGGTGCGACCGCAACTTCAGAGCGCTGTTTCCATGCAAGGTCTTCGAAAGCTGACCCCTGCGATGTCTTGCAACCACGTAAGAGTTGCACTGGAGAATGAAACAACACGAGCAAACGGACATGGCAACCCAGGAGGTGAGTGTGGACGGGCAGAAGGCGGCGTATACGCCGAAATGTCGCTGCCCATGCTGCTCGCTGTCGCAACCGCTTCAAGATATGCTGATGCTGTAGGCACTCTTCCGTGCATTAGGCAAAAAAGCAGATGCGAGTAAGCGGACAGCTTTTTCACCAGCGTTTTCTCAGAACGCCTGCGATTATGAAGAGACATAAATAGGGAAAGTGTTTGCCACGCCTGCGGGACGCGACCAACATAGAACGGCCAATGAACTCCTTTTACAGTTTGAAGGTTGTCGTCCTGCTTGTTCTCGTTGTTTCATCCTTGCAGCAAACGCTGCTGGCTGAGAGTGAATGCCGTGTGTTTGCTGGACTCCTTTTGTCCTTCCTTCCGTTGTTGAGTGAGTTTGAGCAATCACGATTTTTCTCAACGATTTCTGGAGTCCTAACCATGTTCGATCTGAGAGCGCGTGACAAGCATGTACCCGCGGCAGTGCCTTCACTTGTTGTTCCATCCTTTTTCTCGTCTGCATTGTACCGCCTTGCCGAAGCCACATACTGCTTGCCGTCTTCTTCATCCTTGTCTGCGAGGTGTTCTTTTCTGAAGTCCAGCATGTTGTCCAGGACCCATCGGCCGGCATGCGTCATCATAGAGTCATGCCTCAGATGCCAGAGAAGCTACAACTCGGATTAATATCCAGCACCCTGAACTTGTTCCGCCCAGACACAGCATCTCATCGACTTCCAGAATAAAGGCCATCGACATGGCCCCGAGGACAGTGTCCAAAATTCCGGATGTGTCCAGGAGAAGGGTCGTGCCCTCCAGCAAGACCTATCCGGTCCGATGCAGCGCTTGGAGGCTTCAACAGATGAGAACCTTTGGATGACCTCGGCAGCCTTCGCTCCTGCCACTTGAATACCCCTCAACTACGGGAAACTCTTCCAGCCGCGTCACGAAGTAACACAATGCCAGCTTGGGAACGAAGACAACGATGCCGGTGATCAGCTTCCAGTGACCAGGCATTCCTGCAATACCTTGCCCCATGAAGCATCGTGCTGATGCAATAATCATAGTAATAGTAATGGTATTACTCATAATAATAGTAATAGCAATAATCACAACAGCAACAATGATTAATGATGACAATAATAACGATAAATGCTCTGGTGCCTGAAGCCGTGAGCCGAGATGCGAAAGACAAACTTCTCTTTATTTGAGTTGCTCTCGATCCAGTGGCACTTCTCTGGATCGCTGGGCCTGGGAAGATCAGCCGAAAAGCGACAGATACCAAACACTATAAAAGAAATACCATTACTATAATAGGCAGTTTAGCCGCATTGAGCGCTCTACGTATGTTCGGGTATTGCTCAGACCAGTAGAATGAAACCGGTGCAAGCTCATACAACTTTTATATGCCTTATGCATTGCACCGCCAAGCTGCAGTTGCCAAAGCATTGCCAGCATGCGGAAGCAGACTTGAATCCTCGGGCAGCAGGTGGGGGCGAGATGCTGGACCGCCCTCTCTAGCCAGAGCTGCCAAGTGGCTCGTGATTCACCGACATCACGAAGAGAAGCAAGCACAGCCAGCGGCAGGTCGAATTTTCCATGCCGTATTCTCCGGGGTCAACTTTTTCATTGATGACATCTTCCTAGAAGATGGCGAAAAACACGTCCGCCGGCAAAAACTCGCAAACCGTCTAAGTCTAGGCAATCTCGACATGAACACGCAAGGTTGGGGTGCATGCTTAGATGTGTGGTCGAGGTGTGCCAACGGACCTGGGCCAACAACTAATGTTGCTCGACGGCGTTACTTTCGACGTGTCCTTTGTGCAAACGAAAGCGCCCAGAAATTCGCAGAATTTGCGAGGAAAACGGATTCAAGAAGCTCGTGGTGAAGCCGTCATTGGACGCGCAGAATGAAGCCCGATGCTGAGCTTCACACATGTCACCGAACCGGCAGGTGTGATGTGTTGAATATTGCTTGTAAGAGTCTGGAGATGGCTAACAGCTAGAATTCCGCTCTTGCCTGTGCGAACAAAACAGCACGAACAAGCATACGGGTCCAGTGGGCGGGAGATGGCGGCGAAAATTCGGGCCGATCGGCGGAGGCAAGCGGCCACGGGCCACTTTGGTGAGGGCCATAACGTCTCCCCATCAGTTCTACCGATCGGCTAGACTCCTAGACTGACCCCAACATTGCGACCAGGCCAATGCGATCGTTTCGAAACAAAGGGTGGACGAAAGCGACTTCGAGAACATGACTGTGGCAGACCTCGGCTTGAAGCTGCTGTGCACGGTTCGGGCCAGTTTGCTTGGGTTGAAAACGCGTGGGGCATGCAGGAGTGGATGGGGCGCGGTACAAGTAGGCAATTCCGAGTCCTG